CGGGACAGTCTTTACCGTGGCAGAGCAGCCGAGCCTTTGAAGAAAGGACGAGGCCATCCGGAGCACGCGCCCCGCAGAGCCCGAGAAAGCCTGCTCCCAGGCGGGAGCTTCCCCGTGCAGCACGTGCAAAACCCCGCCGCGTCCCCAGGCCTTCGCTGCTGTTTCCCAGGTTGGAAATAGCAACGAAATTGGAATAGCTACTGTTAAAATCATTGTACAGAGTAGAAAAATAAAAGTAAAAAAAGTTAAAAAAATAATAATAATAAATAAAGAGAGAGACGGCCCAACTGCAGCCAGTCGCTGCAGTCCTAGTTCTAAACTTGGGCTTTTCATATTTAGCAAAGAAACAAAAATAAACGCGGTGCGTTTATTTTAAATGTGATTGCAGTGCTGCACAAAAAGTCTTTTAAAAAGTTTTTGCTTTGCTTATCTGTGCAATTTCTAACTCTAGCTAGACCTTGCCTGAAAAATTTTAAGGAAAATGAAGGAAAATGTTATCTATCGCTATCTGCTTCCTGACACAGACCAAAATACATAGTCAAAGCAATCTTTAAACGCATCTGAAAGGTAAACATGGCTCACGAATCACTAGCCACTTGCCACCTCAAAGCCACAAAGATGCACTACTCCGACCCAACCAAAGCTCCTGTCACATTAAAGACCCAAACTGTCACGGCGATGGGAGCAGCATAACACCCCCCCACCCCTGCCGAAACACTCCTAACGACCCGTTACACAGTTGGACCGGGAGGTTTTCAGAAGCCAGATCATCCTGGGGAAGGACCAAACTGGGGAAGGGCAGGTGGGGGAGCGAGAGGAGGAAAGCCTGTGGTACAACAGCTCCCAGGTCCGCCGTCTCAAGGGCTTAACGGAGAGCAACCCGGGCCCGGGTGCTTCTGCACCGGGGGCCGCGCAGGGAAATAGCTGCTGTCCACATCCTCGCCCGCCCCTTGTCCCGCAGCTACATGAATAGGAGTAAGTGTTACTTCAAACGGGAGCAAAGCTGAAAGAGCATCTCTGTGCCGGCTCCAGCCCTGCTGGCGGGGGAGTCTCGTGATGCCACCACGGTCAACAGAGCTGGAGCCACAGACAGGGCCAGCCCGTGGGTTTATAAACATCCGCAGCAAACCCTCCTAAAAAGCGTCTCCCTCCTTCCCTGCCTCCCCCAACCCTTCGGGACAGACGCCCTTAACCGCGGTTCCCTTCATCTGTGGGAGCAGAGAGGATTAATTGCTGAAGACTATCTCATACGCGTGTTATGCTAGGGCCACATAACAGCCATGTGGCTCAAGCTTGAGGCAAAACCGCGATACAGCAAACGAACAAGAGGAGTCATCTTTCCTCTTATAAATTCTCTGAAACCAGGAAGGGTGTGAATTTAAAACCAGAACTCCTTCTCCAGAATAACACCATGCATGGGCTTTCCTACTCCAGAGCAAGTGTTCACGGCCAGCCTGACTCCAGAAAACCCCAGGGTAAGCATCCCTGAGGGACTCTGCGGCAAAAAACGCACGGCTTAACGAAAGGCTCCGACTGCAATGGTTTATGGCGCGGCATCGTATGGTCCCGGTTCGTCAGCTCTGGAAGGGCTTCAAAAGCAGCTCCAACATCTGTGCAGCGGGACGGGCGAGGAAGCAGGTGCGGGGCCGTGTTAACCGCTGCCACGCTGAGCCATCCCTGCTCTTCTGCCCGGGCCCCAATTTAGCACAAATCCCTGCAAGGTTTACAGTCACATAAACCAGACTCAGCTGCGTAGAAAAGGGAGAGTCTTCCAAAACCGTCAGAGATCCTTTCTGCATATTCCAGCTCTAAGCTTAGAGCTAAAAGCCTGACTTCTCTGGCTTGAATCTAAAAACACAGCTGAAAATATATTTTGGGATCTGTTCAACCTTAAACACAGCGATGACCGAGAAAACGCAGAATATTTTATTTACAACAGCAATAACTTTTACATTTCTAGTAAGCAATGACCTAGGTAGCTTAAAATATGTCCCAGATAGCTAGTTTTTGACTTCAGACATCCCTAAAGGGCTGGTTTCTTCCAGCCTGGCTGTTGACGCGCAGCCCCAGCCCCAGCAGGGAAGAATCCCGCCTGCACGCGCCGGAACCAGGTTCACACAAAACCCAAAACCAGACAAAATCTCCTCTCTCACGATGGTCCTGCTGGGCCGCGGGATCATCCCAACGGCAGAAACCAACTCGTCAAGGCCAGACATCAGTGCCTCGTTATAAGGGAAGGTGAGAGCACTGAATCCAACACTCCCCTCCCCCCCAAAAAATTGGCTGCAAGAACAAGCAGGGGAAGAGCAGAACCTGGTATTCCTGCCGCGAGACCCCCTTACGCCATGCGGTTTGCGAGGGGTTTCTCCTCCTGGAAACGGCAGCGGGCTCACTCATTCATTCATAGCAGATTTTCTACTAGCGAGCCAGCACGAGCGCAGTGCTGTTTTCTAGGGAGGACAGCTTCCTGCCAATTGTGCTAATGTTTTTTTTTTAATGAAGAGAACAACTAAGAAGTGGGATCAACAAGTGAGAGGGGGACAGAGCAATTATATATGTATTTTAAATGAACTGACATATATAATTAATTCACATATACCTTTCAGGATGTCCAATTTCCTTCCTTCCAAGGCCTAATTTTCAAGGTACTAGATACTGGAGATGTTTTTACAAGCTTTGTAATAAACCAAATTTACACAGAAACACAATTTGATATACTTTTGTGACACATGAAACCATTTAAACAGCACTTCTCTAAATTCAGCATTGCACTATTTTTTTAAAAAACAGGTAGCTCTCTTGCAGCAATCTTATGCTTACGCATGATGTCTGCAGCAGATCTCTCCCAAATCCTCCCTTTTCTTGAGATACAGTAACAAGAGCTGGTCATGGTTTTAGCACCAAAGCCAAGGCAGCTGCAGCACGTACCAAAGGTACGGCTGTACGGTCCAAGCAGGTAGCATTTAAGCCAGCAGGCAGGTCACCTGAAGACAAAGAAACAGCTACCTAAGGCACATCCACTGGAAGAGCAATGTCAGGAATGGGCCACTGGTTCTGTTGCATATGAATAAACTTACAGCAGAGACGCTATGGCACTGGGATAATCCTCCACAGCGCTGCTAGACTAGCCAGATACTAAAAAAAGAAATGAACAATGTAGTTAGCATTTAATCTCTTGTTAAATAAAATCTTACTTGTGAAACATCTGGATAGTATAACGTCCCAGTCTAGGTCAAGTTTTGTAAATAAACTATTGATTCTTTATCTGTATGTTATCAGCAGTTAACAGAGAGAGAAATCGGTACCATCTTTGAGAGTAGAAGTGTGGGCCATCTTCCCATCCACGGGAGCTTTTGAAAACACACGGAAAGTTACACATGATCCTACTGCAAAAGATCGTTCATGAGAACTTAATTTTTCTAATGCAAACTACAATGAGTCGCTCTGGGAGAGAATTTCTTGCACTTGTGAACGCCTTTCATATCCGCTTGATTTTATTTTTAAAAACAGAAAGGAAATTTTCTTCTGGAAATACTCTGGTTGCTCATTGAAATGATTAATGACATAAAAAAAAATTTCCGTTAACTAAAAAGGTATACACAGATATTTCAAATATCTTAGAACTGCAGACTGAATCAATCGTTAAGAAAATTTAAGCACAAAGACCCAACAACACAGGACAGAAATCTAAACATATCCAATTAGGGACAGGTAGCTCAGGAAAAGCCTCTCTGGAGACTTCCTACGTTATGCTTAATTTTAAATTAAAGTTTAGATTTATAAACAATTAAAATGACTTTGTTTCTGCAAAATACACCTGTGTAATATATGTCAGATATCTGCTGGTCTATTAGAAAAAGTTTGAAAGTACTGGCAATACCTTTGATTGGTTGTGAGGATCCTGTTTTGAATATCAAGTCAGGGTTTCACAGAAGTGTTTGAAGTAAATAAGCATGATGGATACTTTTGGAGAACCTGTTTCACAGCTGGTCCAGCCACTGGCCTCGGACAAATCACTTCATCCTTGCATGATGACGCTAGGTAAGCGTTACAGCTTCACTGCAACACGCAGCACAGAAAAACGGACAGGCTTTTGGGATGACCACAGACCAAAGAATTTTTCTTTTATAGTAAAAGAGTTTGTATTTCTAAAATACAAAGCTATGGAAAGCACCGACTGTTTTCAGGCCACTAAACCTCCCAGCTTATTGTCTGCGTTGTTGAAAAAGAGTACGCGAGGAAGGAAATAATACTGAAGATAATGACATACCTGGAGTATAAAAATACCTTACAGGTCAGGCTGAAGGGAGGCCGGTCAGGGCTCTCGCCAGGCGGCTGCCGCTCGGCGCGGGAGGAAGCGCCAGCCGGGCGCGCTTCCATGCTGCCCCAGCCCAGCGCCTCTTCGCAGGCATGGACCGGGTTAGCGGATACGCAATTTCACAAAGCAAGTCGCGGAGACAGCCTAGATCATTTCTGATTTTTAAGCTCCTGTCAATACTGTTACTGCTTGCAAAACTTTCTGCTAGTGTCATCTCAATAGTTCCTGCTCTGCAAACCAAGCGGCTGCTCCTCCCAATAACAGGTTTCTCAATCATGACATTTTTCCTGATCCTCAGCCTGCATTTTCCCTTTCTAACGGGAAACCTTTTCCCAGTTTTAGCACCCTGAACCACGTAGCTTTGAATGCTTACAGTACCTCGAGCCTGCCCCTGCGCTCGCCCTCGAGGCCGGGCTCCAAGCCCTTCCCTGGGCTGAACGGCGCTCCTCGCCGCGAGCAGCCCCGTGAAACTGCAAGGCTGCTTTTCGAGCAGGTATTACTCAGTGTGACTGAGCCTACCGTACCGGGGCGCACAAAATCCTCTCACCAGAACAGCAACTGCGAGGGACTTTTTTTTTTCTTTGCTTTCCTCAACTCAAAGCAAAGAACCCACCCCAAGCCCCGGCCAGTTAATCCTACATCCATCCCGAGGAACAGCATATATATTTTGCAATATTTAACATCAGGTCCTGTGCACATTTAACAGTGGCTTTCGGGCCGTAAGGTAGATATTGCCCAGTCCTTGCCTCACTCCGCACGGAAAAGAAATTACCCCAAAATACCAGTTTCTACAGCATCTTTCACGTGAAGATAACTATCAGTAAAAAGCAAGATTAGGCACAACTTCTCCCTGCGTTACAACTCCTGTCTCGGCAAGGAGAGCTCACAAAGAGTAAAGGAAAGAATCAACGGAGACCTGGCAACATCGGTCTTTGCCGATTTTCTACACCACCCACCCAGAGGAAGATGGGCTCTGCCTCCTTCAAAACGCGGGAGAACCAATATGCAGGGAGAACCACCTCCGCTCCGAGCGGCGGCTTGGCCGGACGCTGCGTG